AGAGTCTCCCGCTGTAGTGAGACGTAGACCTGAGTGTCGTCTGCAGAGTTGTGGTTGGACACATTATTGGTGCGTATGAACTGGCCTGCAGGGGGCAGCATGTAGAGACTGAACAAAAGAGGGCCCAGGATTGACCCCTGGGACACCTCACAGGTCAGGGCCATGTGATCTGAGACACACTTTCCAATTTCAACAAAATACTTCTTGTCCTGTAAGAGGATCCATGATCGACAGTGTCAAAAGCAGCACTCAGATCTAACAGGATCAAGACTGAGACTTTGCCTGCATCAGTGTTCAGGCGGATGTCATTTGTCACCTTGATAAGAGCAGTCTCAGTGCTGTGGAGGCTCGAAAACCTGACTGGAAAACATCTTAGGAGTTGTTCATTTGGAGAAAGTTTGTATGCTTGAAAAAGCTGTTTAGCCTTTTCAAGGACTTTGCCAAAAAATGTCAGATTTGAGATGGGTCGGAAATTGTTGAGTACTGTGGCATCAAGACTGCTCTTCTTTAGGAGAGGCTTATGACCGCAGTTTTCAAAGCTTTTGGGAATGTTCCAGATTGAAGTGACGTGTTAACTATGTGTTAACTATGTGAGCAGTGGTGAAAGTAAACTGTTGAGGAAGGACTTTAGAAATGTAGTGGTTAACATGTTGAGGCAGCATGTGGATGAACTCAGACTGGTGACCATCTCTAAGACAGTTTTGTCAGTTACAGGTGCAAAGTGATTCAGCTCTCAGTGTCTCTGTGGTTTCATGTTTGTTATTTGTGTTGTGGAATTGATGACATTTTGTTGCCCTGAACTTTGTCATTAAAGAAAACTGCAAACTCATGACACTTAGATGTGGAGATGAGTTCTAACGGCAGTGGAGCTGGAGGGTTTGTTCATCTGTTCACTGTTGTAAACAGGACACGAGAGTTTTTACTGCAATTTCCAATAACGTCTGAAAAGTCTCTCTTGTTCTACTCAAACTGTGGTTGTACATGTGCATCTTTCCTCTGTAAATCTCATAACTCGCACCATTTCTGCTCAGCTCATCACCATAAACTTAAGAATCTCTGTGGAGACTTCCCTGATAGATGGGATGAGATACAATTTCTACAAGACGAGACAAGTTTCAAGATTCAGTCCACGAGATCGAGACAAGGCGAGATTTTAATATACTTTTCGATAAATAAATGGTGCCATTCAGTTCATAATTTTTGCTTCAAAATATTTGTTACAGTTTTGCTGTCATTGTAGCAGTGTTTTTTTGGTATCACAGTTTCTTAAGAAGAATTACTCAGCCTTTTTCATCCAAGGCAAATGTAAAAATGTAAGGAAAACATCTTACAAGATATTTTTTGTTTATGTTTGCACAGTCTCTATCCATCTAAATTTAGAGCTAAAGCAATATAATATTCTGCTGAACATTTCTCTCAACTTCAACAACCCTCCACACAGCAGTGATTAAAATACCAAGTTTGCTTTTCTGAGTATCACTGGATCTAAACCAGGTGTATAACAGGACTATTCCAGGTCTAATCTAGGACTAACCCAGGTTTAAAAGTGGACTATATATTTCCACTGTAGTTCTAAACAAGAAATTACCCAAAGAAAGACAAAAAAGTGGATGACTGAAGCCTAAATTTGACAAACCCACAAACTCCAAGAAGCACCTGAAGCAGTTCGTGTACAACAGTTTGAGAAACAGTCTGAGATGAGATACAAGTTTAGTACTTTACATTTCACTCAAGGCCGTCCTAGTTTTGATGGTGAGTCATATGATAATTTCTGCATTCAAGAACAGTGACTTTTGCTTTTATGACAAAACGTGGCAAACAAAATAACCAGAATGCCCCCAGAAAGTTCACGAATTTCTTACAATAATTAGTACAAATAAGATCTTACAGACAAATTAAAAGATTTCTAAACGTATACAGTGACTTACATTTGGTAGAAATGGTCAGATATGGATTTTTGGAGCCGATGTTTGATATTTGCTGATACCGATATACCAAGTCCTCAGTTTTGTTGCTTAAGTCAAAGTACAGACACCAGAGCATACCAGAGAAATACTCAAGTAAAAGTCAAAGTATCACATGAAAAAATCTACTTAAGTAAAAGCATTAAAGTACCTGTTTAAAATGTACTTTAAAGAGTATACAGCAAAAGTATTTCACACAAGTTTTGCGATCTAATGAAGCTTCAATTGTAGTGATTTGATAAAAAAAATAAATAAATTGCAGAATTTTGCTCAATAGAAACAATTAAATCGATAGAGTGATTTTTATTATTGTATATTTTTGTTTGCTCAGATTATAAACGTGTTAGAATTAAACCCTCAGCGTTTTTAATAGGTATTAAACAATACAAAAAACTTTTAAAAAAGAAGAAAAAAAAATAATAAATAATAATAATAAATAATAATAATAATAATACTTTTCAGTCCTGTTAAAAAATGAAATGGTCTAAATGATTCTAGTGAAGGTATATGGAGTTTAAAAACACAGTGGAGCACTTTCTGTATCACCACATGACATCACAAGGTGGAACAGAGTAAAGAACTCAGCCTAAATCTGCAGAATTTGTGCGATAAACACGTGTGAATGAAACAAAACACAACTCCAGGTCTGTTTGAGATGAGGAAACAATATGATAACATAGATTAGAAAATAGCCCTCAAATAAATTAAAAATAATTAAAATTAGATCTGCATCAACAAACTAACCATTGTATCACGCTGCTTATTGACTCAATCTGGCAGAATATTAAAATGACAGTTGTGGATCTGGGTTTGCACTGATCTGCAGACAGTGTCCTACTGCCCTCCAGTGGCGATCATCAGAACTACATCTTAAAATCTCCTACAGTGTGGACTTTTTCATCACTTTATAAACACAAATAAGTTATGGTAGTGTCATGATGAAGTTATAGGTGTGGTATTCTTTTATTTGTTCATTTTGAAGTGTAAATGTACTACTAATAATCATCAATATCAACAGTGTTTGGTGTGTGCGCATATTGCTACTGTAGATATTTTGCACTGCCATCACGTGTGGGGGGGTTCCACATGCAGTGTTGGGGAGTAACAGATTACATGTACCGGAGTTACATAATCAGAGTACAAATGATGAGTAACTGTATTCAGTTACAGTTACTGTTTCAGTGAGTGGTCAACAATGAAACTCGCCTATAAATGCACACAGACACAGGTGAAACACATCAGGGCGGGGCAAACAATCAAGACAGGAAGTAAAACTCAAAACTACAAGCAGACACAAACAAATGTCAAAATAAAACACCAAAATGAGCAAATACAACCACTACAAACATGAACCATGACACAGAGAAGTTAATGAACAAACATGATACAACATGAATGTAAACACACTGGTTTGTTGGTTCACTTCCATCCTTTATCCCAAAGCGCTGGAGTCACAGGGGCCAAACAATAAAATATTGCGTACCTCCATTATTGCACAGTCCAAAATATTACACAGTCTTTGCACAATTCCCATTATTTTGCTGCCAGTTTGGCCACACATTCAGCACATGCAAACAGGACTTTACATGATGCAAATATGAGTCTATAGAAGATTAAAGCTGCTCACGGCGATGGTGGCCCTCGCCCCAGTGCACACTCCCCTCCCACACGATCGGTGGGGACTTGCGACTGCCCCAGCATGCCACTCTCTTCCCGACAGCCACCCAGACCGACAGCTCATCCACCAGAAAAATTACATAGTGTACCTTTAAAATTGATTAATGTGAATGATTCTAGAGACAAACTATAAAAACTAGGCCACAGGTCATGTGACTTTTATGATCAAGAGCACTGTCAGACTAAGGCTACGTTCAGACAGCAGGGCTTAACGCTCAGTTCTGATTTTTTTGTCAAATCCGATGTTTTTCACATTTCCAATTAAATGCGACTTGTATGTGACTCCACGACGACGTCAACCGCAGTGAGCGTCTCTGTGTTTACAGAAGTTGTCCAAACATGGACGCAGCATTGAGCACCTGGAGATTTTAAAGTTCCTCTTGTACCGGAGCCAGAACATGAACAACTTACTTGTTTTAAGGAGGAGATTGAGAAGGAGAAGGACGAGGTTTTTGGCCGTGGTGTTTTGTGGGACAGTCCAATGAAAGGAACGTGTGGATGTGGAGACGTAGTCAAGAGTGGTGAGTGGTGATGTGCTTCACTTCAGTGACACAGAGTTCATTAAACAATTTTCGCCTACTTCAGTGCAGAATAGTGACGTTTGTGTCTTGTTGATAACGTGTAGGTGGATGAATGCACTTTGGCCGTTCACACTGAAGTCACATGTCAAAAGATCAGATATGTATCAGTTTCAGGAGCACATATCCAAGTGTCCTGGGTCACATTTGAAAAAATCAGATCTGTGTGGTTCAGACTGTCATTAAAAGATCAGATACAGGAACATAGGGGCCAAAAAATTGGATTTGGGTCACTTCAGGTGCAGACTGAACGCAGCCTAAAACTGTGCATAAAAACACACCCTCCACCAGAAAATTTACATAGTGTGCTTTTAGATTTCTCAAAAGTGAAATGATTCTTAGAGGCAAAAGTGTAAAAACTAGGGCATAGGCCTTATTGACTTTTATGATCAGGAGCACGTCAGTGAATGTTCTGCAAAGTTTCACTAATTAATGTGAAAGTAATTTTTTTTCCCTCTTCTAAGCAAATTCTGTGCATTCCTATAGGTGGCGCTGTAGCACTGATAATTGTGTTTGACATGTCAATGAAATCAGGGTCATGCAGTGTATAACTAATAGGACTTTCAGCACGATTGGCTGAAGTATGTGCGTGTAATCATTTTTAAAATATTTTTGTGAGGATTCTTTACGCCCCTGCTGGCCAACCGTGAAAAATGCCCCAAGTTCGTAATATATATATATATTTTTTTGCTCATAATCATGCATAGAATTTAATCCCTGAATTTGGTACAAATCCGATAATGTTGACGTTTCATGTCTATTCTCCTCCCCGTTAACTTCATTAGTGGCGAGGGCCAATTAAAGGCATCAAACGGCCCTCACCGGCCGTGACCCAGCACTCCCACCGGGTGGCGCTGACGCACCACTTGTCTGCGTGTGATTGTGGCTTTGGGTTGTACTTGTCACTAAACACACAAAGTCAGCACACCTCAGAGATGCTGATGTGCTAACATAGATAAACATGGATACTTTGTGACATCGCCATGGCAACACTGTGCAAAATACGACTTTGGCTCCCTTTTTTGATTGAGGTGACCTGAAGAATCACTGTGCCAAAGTCAGTGTTGGGAAGGTGACTTTTAAAATGTAATCCCCTACAGATTACAGATTACACACCCTAAAATGTAGTTTGTAACGGAATCCATTAAATTACTTAAAGTGAGTAACACAATCTGAATACTTTGAATTACTTGATTTGCTGTAGAGAAGCAAAGACTAGGATATTGTAACATAAGAAGTTTTGTCTGCTAAAAGAAAATAAAAAGCCCAGACTTTACTGAACCAAATTAAAAATATTATTGATAGAAGACGGAGGAGACGCACAGCATGATTTAGTCCTGTTAAATCCTGTTTTAGTCCTGGTTTACACCTGGTTTGGACCTGGTTTAGTCCTGGGTTATTCTGGGTTTAGTCATGGTTCAAGTCCATGTTTAGTTCTGGTTTAGTCTGGGTTAAATCAGGGTTTAGTCTGAGTTTAGTCCTGGGTTAGTTCTAGTTTAATCTTGGTTTAGTCTGGTCTTAGTCCGTGTTTAGAGCAGGTTTATTCCTGGGGTAGTCCCTGTTTAGTCCCAGTTTTGTCCCGGTTTAGTCCCGAGTTAGTCCCAGTTTAGTCCCGGTTTAGTTCTGGTTTAGTCCTGGTTTAGTCCCGGTTTAGTCCCAGTTTAGTCCTGGTTTAGTCTTGGGTTAGTCGTGGTTTAGTTCTGGTTTAGTCCCAGTTTAATCCCGGGTTAGTCCTGGTTTAGTCCTGGTTTAGTCCCAGTTTAGTCCTGGGTTAGTCATAGTTCAGTTCTAGTTTTGTTTAGTCCTGGTGTAGTCTGGGTACAAAGTTACAAACCGCTGAATGAACCAAAAATTAACGGCCTGTAGATGGCGCCACACGTCCAGTATAAGCAGAGGCGTCTAGAGAGTTAAAGCCTAAATCACATCACGTAAAGCATCCACATCTGCCAATGGAACGAAGATGGGATGCTGCAACACATTACTCATTATCATCATAAAACTGTTTGTTAATGTTAAAATGTTTCTCATACTTTGCTAAAATAACACACTGTACCATCCACCACACCACTGCTGAAATACTTGACCATCCATATTCCTCTTCAATCCTGTAGCAATCTGCACTTTCACAGCTCTACATTGGGTTTTTATATATATATTTGTGTATGTGTGTGTGTATTCTGAATAATACTTACATAATACATGAATAATACAATAATTTATACCCGGCTTTTTTTCATTGCCCAACCTGTACATTCTGCTCCAATAAATTATTTGTACATAAACTGCACATAAATACTGCCAACCCATAATTTAACTGTACATATTCTACACAAATCTATACCCTCCTTTACTTGCACTAACTGTAAATAACTGCATTTAATCTGTACATACTGCACTGCCATGACATAAAATGGAGCTTTCAAGACTTTATTTCTTCACATTTTTATATTTATGGTTTACAGATAATGAAAACCGAAAGTTCAATGTCTCAGAAAATTTGAATTAAGATTAATATTACATAAGATCAATAAAAAAAAAGGATATTTTGTTATTTTGACGAAAATGCGTCACTGAAACATCACGTGACCGTCTGAAGAAAGAAGAAAACAACAACATAAACAACACGCTGCTCTGTCAAAAAGAACCTTCAATTTTAAATGACACAATTTTCCTCAAAATATAGAAGAATTAAAAAGTGTAAATACTGTACATTATAAACAGACACATTCAAATCACATCAGGCGTCAGGTCTAAATCAGCCAATGACACATGCTAACAAGGCTAATAATGCTAATAACTGCCTGATATGTCTCATTTTTCACACTGAGCACGAACAGATCCTCCCACCAGGACTAAACCAGGACCAAAGCAGGACTAAACCAGGACTAAACCAGGTCTAAAGCAGGACTAAACCAGGACCAAAGCAGGTCTAAACCAGGACTAAACCAGGACCAAAGCAGGTCTAAACCAGGACTAAACCAGGACCAAAGCAGGTCTAAACCAGGACTAAACCAGGACTAAACCAGGACCAAAGCAGGTCTAAACCAGGACTAAAACCAGACAAAGCAGTCTAAACCAGGACTAAACCAGGACCAAGCAGGTCTAAACCAGGACTAAACCAGGACCAAAGCAGGTCTAAACCAGGACTAAACCAGGACCAAAGCAGGTCTAAACCAGGACTAAACCAAGACTAAACCAGGACCAAAGCAGGTCTAAACCAGGATTAAACCAGGACCAAAGCAGGTCTAAACCAGGACCAAAGCAGGTCTAAACCAGGACTAAACCAGGACCAAAGCAGGTCTAAACCAGGACTAAACCAGGACCAAAGCAGGTCTAAACCAGGACTAAACCAGGACCAAAGCAGGTCTAAACCAGGACTAAACCAGGACCAAAGCAGGTCTAAACCAAGACTAAACCAAGACTAAACCAGGACCAAAGCAGGTCTAAACCAAGACTAAACCAGGACCAAAGCAGGTCTAAACCAGGACTAAACCAGGACCAAAGCAGGTCTAAACCAAGACTAAACCAAGACTAAACCAGGACCAAAGCAGGTCTAAACCAAGACTAAACCAGGACTAAACCAGGTCTAAAGCAGGTCTAATCCAGGACTAAACCAGGACTAAACCAGGACCAAAGCAGGACTAAACCAGGACTAAACCAGGACTAAACCAGGTCTAAAGCAGGTCTAAACCAGGACTAAACCAGGACTAAACCAGGACCAAAGCAGGTCTAAACCAGGACTAAACCAGGACCAAAGCAGGTCTAAACCAGGACTAAACCAGGACCAAAGCAGGTCTAAACCAGGACTAAACCAGGACCAAAGCAGGTCTAAACCAGGATTAAACCAGGACCAAAGCAGGTCTAAACCAGGACTAAACCAGGACCAAAGCAGGTCTAAACCAGGACTAAACCAGGACCAAAAGCAGGTCTAAACCAGGACTAAACCAGGACCAAAGCAGGTCTAAACCAGGACTAAACCAGGACCAAAGCAGGTCTAAACCAGGACTAAACCAGGACCAAAGCAGGTCTAAACCAGGTCTAAACCAAGACTAAACCAGGACCAAAGCAGGTCTAAACCAGGACTAAACCAGGACCAAAGCAGGTCTAAACCAAGACTAAACCAAGACTAAACCAGGACCAAAGCAGGTCTAAACCAGGACTAAACCAGGACCAAAGCAGGTCTAAACCAAGACTAAACCAGGACCAAAGCAGGTCTAAACCAAGACTAAACCAGGACTAAACCAGGACCAAAGCAGGTCTAAACCAAGACTAAACCAGGACTAAACCAGGTCTAAAGCAGGTCTAAACCAGGACTAAACCAGGACCAAAGCAGGTCTAAACCAAGACTAAACCAGGACCAAAGCAGGTCTAAACCAGGACTAAACCAGGACTAAACCAGGACTAAACCAGGTCTAAACCAGGACTAAACCAGGACCAAAGCAGATCTAAACCAGGACTAAACCAGGACCAAAGCTAAACCAGGACTAAACCAGGACCAATGCAGGTCTAAACCAGGACTAAACCGGGACTAATTCAGGACCAAAGCAGGTCTAAACAAGGACTAAACCAGGACTAAACCAGGACTAAACCAGTTACCGAGGTCTAAACCAGGCATAAACCAGGATTAATCAGGATCTAAACCAGGTTTAAACCAGGACTAGTTGGACTTTAGACACTCAGCCGTGAGAGTTAACTGGAGTCAATGGAAAGGAATGACATAAGAGTTAAACAGATCATATTTTAAACAAAGTCCAGGCCGCACTCAAAGGCTGTACACAAACCCAGGGTGAATAGGAGGAGTTTAAAGGTCCATGTCTCTAGATTAGCCTAGTTTAGAGGATAGGTGAGTCCAGTGGCTCTCCCGCCCACTGACCATGACACCTGTCCAGCCAGAATAACACGCTTTGACCAAACTTTACAAAGATGAGTGGTTCTGGAGCTCCTGTCTCCCTGATTTTGAAGGGAGTGACTGACAGGCAGATTAACCAATCAGACAGACGCATGCTCTGTCCATGTCATAAACAAACATGAAAAATCTATATAAAGGACTGAGAAACAGCATGGATGTTTACACAATGACCAACTGAAGTACCAAGCTATTACTTAAAAGAAGTTATATATTTTGTTTTGAATGTTGCAAGAATTTTCAAGAGGAGATGTCTTCTGCATTTGAGGAACACGTGATACATGTTAAGGCCTATTGATACTTCAGAAGAACATAAGAACTTTGTTGTTTCACCCAGGGCTGGCCCAAAAAACATGACATCATTTTGTTTTATGCTTTTTCAGTACAAAAATACAAAGTGAATTAGAGCCAGAGTCAATGGAGCTGAATCGCGCTATGTATGTATGTATTTATAATAGACTGTATATACAGTATATATATATATATATATATATATATATATATGTATGTATGTATGTATGTATGTATATATATATGTGTATATATATACATATATATGTATGTATGTATGTATATGTATATATATGTATATATATATGTGTGTATGTGTATATATATATATATATATACATACATATATATATATATATATATATATATATATATATATATATATACACATTATATATATACATACATACATATATATATATATATATATATATATATATACTGTATGTATATATATATATAATATATACACATACACACACATATATATATACATATATATACATATACATACATACAGTATATATATATACACAGTATATATATATATATATATATATATATATATATATATATATATATATATATATATATATATATATATATATATATATATATATATATATATATATATATATATATATATATATATATATATATATATATATATATATATATATAGGGCTGGGCAAAAGTAATTTTTTTTTTATTGTGATTAATCGCATGAGTTCGCATGTTATACGCAAAACCAATTAATGAATTAAAGTAGAGTATAGCTGCTCTTTTATTGGAAATGTAAATGAAAGAGCCAAACATTTGTTGTGCAAACAGCATTTCTTTCACAGGGGAATCCTCAGAGCTTCAAGATATTCAGGGAAGGCTCAAGAAAAAATATTGAATGGACGTTTGTACTACTAATATATTTATTGAATATTTTTTTATGCTGTGAGTAATGAACACTACACTAGTAATAATTTCTAGATCAGTGTTATAAACTTGGACTGATACTTCTTAGGAAACAAAGAGTTAATATAATGGAATGGAAATGGACCAATCACATTTGTTCTTCCAGTGGTATGTGTAAATCAGTGACTCCAGCACTGAACTAAAGAAATAAACTCAGCTCAGAGCCGGTGCCCGCGGCTGAGCCCGCGGCCGGAGCCGTGACGGGAGTCGGAGCCTGCGGCCGAACCCGCGGAACCCGCGGCTCGCGGAGGCTCGGGCACGTTGCATCTCACGTGGTCAGAAAAAAGAGAAAAAAGTGAAAAGAAAAGACGTCAAACTTAAAGAAACACTCGCGGTGGACTTTTTCAAAATAAAAGCCAGTGAGAAACAGACGTTTACAATAAAATAAATAAATAAATAATAAAAACTGCGTTAACGGCGTTAAAATAATTGTCAGCGTTAATGACTTAATTAGTTAACGCAAAGTTAACGCGTTAACGTGCCCGGCCCTAATATTATATATATATATATATATAATATATATATATATATATATATATATATATATATATATCCAATCCATGTTGCAGGACATACCACATACCTCCCACAGAGAGCTGGAGGCTGGGGCTCTGAGAGGAGAAGCTGTGGTTGAAAACCTTAAGGAGGTAAACACAAGTGTAGTTTCCTTTGTGGGTGTGGTCAGTGTCAGAGAACAGGAAGTGTGCGGAGTGATTGACAGCAAGCAGGGTGTGGTTCTCAGTGGGAGAGAGGAGCTGGAAGGAGCCTCCCGGGTACTGTGGCTCCACAGAGCATCTGACCCTGAACTTTGAGCCCAGCTGCACCCGCACCCCCTGAGGCTGGAGCTCGGACGCCCCGTCAGACACAGACACGGAGATGATTGGACGATTCAGGAGGTCTGGGGAGACACATGATTGGACAGATCAGTCTGTGGAGACGAGAGTGTGTGTGAAACCTCTGAGAGAAACATAAAAGTATAAGATCAGCCTTACCTGAACACACCACCTCCACCCCCAGCTCAGAGTAGAGAGAGCTAAAGGGACACTGTCTCACTACAGACTCCTTCACACAGTCAGATGTGACCCCCCACACAGGACTCAGTGGAAATTCATGTCTCTTTCCTTCATAAACAGCAGAGCCACAGTCCAGGTCTCTGCACACGGCAGCAAGTTCCAGGTCCCGGAGAACCCAGAGCCCATCCACCCGTCTCCACTCTCCTGCGAGTCTCAGCTCCACAATCCCAGCACAGCGGCTGGCCCCTCCCACCAGCCTCAGCGGCTCTGAACAGACAAGAGACGTCCCACCCCTTTACCTGAACAGTCAAGCCCCGCCCCTTTACCTGAGCAGGTGAGGTTGACAGTGGCTCCAGAGGAGCAGGTCCTTGAGTTGGAGCGGGGACAGTCCATCAGAGCAGACTCATGGCCCTCACAGTGGAACATCTGCCCCAGAGGAGAGAGCGCCCCCTGGAGGAGAGAAGGAGCCCTACAGCCCAGCTCCCTGCACAGCACCTCTGCCCCCCGCTGGTCCAAGTCCCCGTCACAGACCCCGGTCCAGGACCCGTCCCAGATCTGCACTGATCCGGAGCACAGACCGGATCCCGAGACCAACCGCACCGACTCTGTGGACACACATGTGACATCACCACTCCGAGCCAACAGGACACACACAGGGTAAGTTAAGAGTAGAAATAAGATATAATGACTGACGCTGCATTCATGTGATTTCATAAACTCAGATGATCCGACCTCTAACTTGGAAAAACAAGAATGAACGCAACTCAGGTCAGAATTTCAACAGTGAAACTTGTGCAGAAGTGTCAGACTCAGAATTCCAGAGTTCAGGTCAGTGTGACAGGAGTCTGCTTCATGTCACACTGATCATTTTACTTCACAAATTAAATATATTTAAGACACAATTCACCTATTCCTTCTAATTAATCAGGCTTACAACTCTGCACAAACCTCCTATCTAATTAGTTTATTTGTAATTTGCTAACAAGAAACAGCTCCTCTCATATAAGTCTCTGTCACAACTTCATGGTTTTAATTTTCCAATGAATTAGCACAGCAGAGAATCCAGTTCTGCAGATGTGTTACTGTCGTTGTTGCTCGTGCATTGCACCGGCTGCTCTTGTGAATGCAGGATCGTTTTAGGAAGTCAGATGATTCTGTAGCAATCTCCAAGTTTCCAAGATCACATGAATGCAGCATAACACCAGCCAGAGGGGAGCAGTCTCAAAAACATCTGAGATTTAATCTGAGCATTTAAGACTTTTACCTGAACACACCACCATCAGAACTGAATTAGTAGAGGTGTTTGAACTCCAGACACACTCTCTCACTGCAAACTTCTTTACACAGTCAGACGTGGCCTCCCACACAGGACTTGGTAGCTCCCACACTTGACTCTCTTGTCCAGAGCCACAGTCCAAGTCTCTGCACACAGCAGCTGTAGCCTCCAGGTCCCAGGGGTCATAGGCTTTAATCACCCGTCTCCACTCTCCTCTGATTTTCACCTCCTCAATCCCAGCACAGCGACTGGCCCCTCCCACCAGCCTCAGTGGCTCTGAACAGACAAGAGAGAGTGAAGTCCCACCCCTTTACCTGAACAGTCAAGCCCCGCCCCTTTACCTGAGCAGGTGAGGTTGACAGCAGCTCCAGAGGAGCAGGTCCTTGAGTTGAAGCGGAGACAGTCCATCAGAGCAGACTCATGGCCCTCACAGTGGAATGTCTGCCCCAGAGGAGAGAGCGCCCCCTGGAGGAGAGAAGGAGCCCCACAGCTCAGCTCCCTGCACAGCACCTCTGCCCCCCGCTGGTCCATGTCCACATCACAGACCCCGGTCCAGGACCCGTCCCAGATCTGCACTGATCCTGAGCACAGACTGGACCCCGAGACCAACCGCACCGACTCTGTGGACACCATAGAAGTGGACTAAGTGAGTGTGACGCCACTCCCAGCGGCTCCGCTTAAATGAAGCTCGTGATGCTCATGGTTACAGGAGTGAATTTGGAGCCAGGCGTATATATTAGGAATAGTTTTTTTTTAAACAAACAAAATAGTGAAATAAAAAACCCAGGATTATGTAGAGCAGGTAATGAACATTTTAAACCAAAATGACAAGGGTCACTGCAGCAGTTACAGAGAGGAGCCACGATATTCCAGTGTAAGACAATGGGAGCCAAAAGAGCCCACATGCCAACTTCCTATTTGGTGAGTTAGTGAGTTAGCTATGTCCATTTACATTTACAGTTTATAGTGGACACACGTGTGCATGTGTGGCATCACTGCTCTGAGACAATAGGAGCTTAACTCTCACCTGAACACTTGACATGCAGACTGTTGTATGAGGGAGATGTTCCAGCGCTCGAACAGTGGATCAGAGATGTTTTACAGTCATGACAAACAGTCACAACTTTTCTTTCTGGGCCTGTTTTACTCTCCACAGACAGAGCAGTGCCACAGTCTAGCTCCGTGCACACTCTGGACCCAAACTCAATAGTCACGGGTGATAAAACCACTGGAGTCCAGTCCAGATCTGATCTCTGAAGCACTACCTCGCCCTCACAGCGACTGGGTCCTCCCATCAGTCTCAGACTGTAAGGCTCTGCAGAGGAGACGGTACAGTGATTATCCTCCTCTCAGTGAGGAGGTTGTGGGTTAAACTCCTGATCTGTCTGAGTGTGTTGCTTTGGTGTGTGGTAATTACCTGCTGAGCTGCTGTTTTCTGCCAGGTTCCCTGCAGACATGACACAAAGCTGCACACAAAATGGCAGCAGTTTTGAGACTTAAACTGCAGGAGGTAACAACATTCTAACATGGTGTAAAGCTGAACAAGAGTCAGTTCTGTGTAATATCGAACCTGTTTGATTATAGTTAACAGGAGACACTACACAGCTACCATTTTTGGCCAGTTTGGATTCTTAGCATAAAAAGCAATAGCCTGCATTGAAAAGATGTTTTAATATTTCATGTAATCAACTTTCAACCATAGAGTTATACGGGACATAGTAACTTTTTCCCCATAGGGACAGAGGGATCAGCCCTAAAAACAAGATTCAGACCAATCATACAGAAGGATTTTTTCATATCTAATTCAAACTCTGGTTTATTGAAGTTAACTCTTAAAATCAAAATTTTCTGTGAGATTTAACTTACTCAAATACTAAATAAGATACCAAATCCGCTCTGTATATTTTTAGTATCTAAAATGTCAACAAAATGAAGCAAGAATTCTAAGGTTAGACACTGCAGGTGAAAAGAAAAAAAAATCTTTCATTTTGAGTAAGTTTCGATCAATTAGCAACTTCTTTGGTACTTTACTCCTATAAATGTAAGAAAATAATGTTTTTAATATAAAATTGAGAACTTTTGTGTGTATAAACAACCTATCTTGACATTTTTTGGACATTCAACAGAAACATGACAATAGCCAGATTTAAATGTCTTGCTTCATTTTTTTTTGACATATTAGATATAAAAAATATATTATAAATATATAAATATAGAGGGGATTTTAAATCTTATTTATTTTTTATTTATTTCCTTTATTTATTAGTTTACTTATTTGAGTAAAATAGATCTGAAATTTAACCTCAGTTTTGGAGTTAAAACTTTAATAAATCAGACTTAGAACATCTTGCAGTGCAGAGTGGAGTGTTTAGTTTTTTCCCACATGAAAGTTTGTTGCAAAGAGACCAAACTGACCAATAAACTAAACACTGATATAAATGAGTTTTGCCTGTAGTGTCTATTTTTCAGATTCAAAATTCCCCCAAAAGTCCACAATAATCCAATAAAATTGATATTAAACTTGGAGGAGTCATTTACATTCTATTAATAATATTACTCAGAGAACATGCAGAAATTTGAGACAAGTACTGAAGCTGGCTGCCCATTAAACGCAACACAACAGAGGTCTGGGGTATGAGCGTGGGTATGAGCAGCGGGCGCGGGTGCGAGCATGCTTAACTTGAGCTGGTGCACTTGTACTAACTTCAATCACTATGTCGGGCGTAGTTAAGCCTGATGTAAAAAATGCTGATGACAAGTTACTATGACTCTCAAACCTGGACTTCATTTGGTGAGACAATACCTGCTGTAAATATAAATTACACAAATCAAGCACCAATTTGTGAAGAAAAGTTGAAACATATGTTGAAAAGTAGAGAGTTTAAGAGAGTTCCACACTGATGGCATCACTCTGGGAGAATTCTGTCCAAAAGTTTGGCACAATTTTGATGTAGGGAACACATTTATTCTGACACTTTAAACTTGATTTGAACAAAATAAAGGTGTTTTCTTATATTTGTATTTGTCAGATCATCTTTTCTGTAGTATTAGATGATTACAGTACATAAAATAAAGTCTGTGAACAATAAGAGCCAAAACTTACCCCAACAGCAGAGGGACAGAAACAGCACCCTGAGGAACATGTCGAGGAACCAGGACTGAACCACGTCTGAGTCTGGACCAGGTCTAAGTCTAAACCTTTCCTGTTTTTAACACATTCTTATCTTATTCTTGAACCTTTGTGGTTTTTCTCGTAAAGACGGAAATTTCTAAATCAGATGAAAAAACTTTCCACAAACAGCTCATCACCTGCAATCAGGAGGATCAGAGCAACCAAAGATCCAATCAGGAGCGAGACTGTTCCACTGGCAGCAGGGGTCATACTCGTATCAACACTGATAATCAAATGTGGGGTTAACACTAGCAGGAACAACCTCAGGGAAAAAAAGACACCTGACTGGTCTGTTATTCATCTTGAGCATCTTCAGAGAAAACTTGTATACATCACATGCATACATACATACACATTTTAGCATACAACAGTATAAATATGTATACACATACACACTATCACACCTGACTGGTCTGTTATTCATCTTGAGCATCTTCAGAGAAAACTTGTATACATCACATGCATACATACATACACATTTTAAATATCCAGTACATATATTCAGTATAAATATATATATATATACACATACATACATAATGTATAACACATACATACACGCAAAAATATTTTTTTGTTTATGAACGTACGAAATGTTAAGGTCAGAATAAGGAGCTTGAAAGCAGCACAGAGAGGGGCTGCGCTTTTTCAACAAAGTGAATTGGGGCTTGAGTCGATGGAGCTGGATCGCACTCATGCTCTCTTCCTGTTTGGATCATACCTGAAGTTGTCTTAACAGAATGTCACCTTTACTGAAAAATGTCAAAGTGGGGAAGGTACAAACCCAAGGCCCACCCACTGAATATATTAAAAGTCCTGGAGGGACATAACAAAGGACTTGTAATATATTCAGTCAGTGTGCCTCGGGTTTGTAGCTTGCACACTTTGACATTTTTCAGTAAAGGTGACATTCTGTTAAGATTTCTAGTTCAACCCTCGCAGACCTGCACTGCTACTATTGGCTCTTTTATGAGCCAGTGAAGCGCTCTACCTTCTGCTCATCTGATATGTGGAGTTATGTTTTGTTTCATTCACACGCATTCAACACACAAACCCTGCAGATTTAAGATGAGTTCTTCTTCCAAACAGAAAACACTTTGTTTCACCTTGTGATGTCATGTGGTAATACAGGAAGTGCTCCACAGTGTTTTTTAAACTCTATACAACTTCACTAGAATCATTTGGATCATTTCAGTCCTGGAATTGCCAATCTACTGAACTAAAGGTAAAAGGAGCTGTTAACTTCGTGACATCACAAGGTGGAACAAAGTATTTTGAGTTTTGGAGATGTAGGTAGACTAATAATACAGGATTACTCAAACGTGTGAATGAAACAAAACACAACTGCAGGTCTGTTTTTGAGGTTTCAGCATTATAACCTGGTTACACAAAAATCTATAATAAATAAAACTAATGTACAGTTCAAATTAGATCTGCATCAACAAAATTAAATATTGTATCATGCTGTTTATTTAGTCAATATATCAGATTATTAGAATGACAGTAGTCTCTATTCACGCTGATGTCACAAACCACGAAGACGTTTGGAAACATGTGATGACAACTTGCGGTGTATTTCCAGACATGAAGACTGCATATGTATGTGCTGTTTGGTATCATCTGGAATTTGGCGCACTCATCTCTTCTAATCACATGTACCCAGTGCACTCGGAGCAGAGTCCTGCATCGGGTCGGGTATCCACAAATAGTTGCTGAAATGGGCAGGTTTTAACGTTCTGGAATTGTAGGGGTGGGTAGTGAAACACACGGGCGGTTCAGGTGAATCAAATGAATGAGGAACAGGAAAAAAAAAAAAAAAAACTTGACACACATCCAGGACGTCCGTTGCCCTGGAAACAAGTGCCTAGTCCTGGTCTTTATCCGGAACGATGGACTAGGCCGAGTGTGACTTTAGTGTTTTTATTACATAAAACCATCAGCAGAGCAGATCGACTTAGCAACTGTGCTCCTGGTTTAGTCCTGGTTCAGTCCTGGTGTAGTTCAGGTGATTGGCTCTGTGGTTGAGGCGGGTATATATTTATAATCCGCTGATGACACGGCGTAGGTCCAGTCCTGGCCAGTCCTGGTTTAGTCCTGGTTTATAGTCCTGGTTTATAGTCCTGGTTTATAGTCCTAGTTTAGACCTGATTCAGTCCTGGTGTAGTCCTGGTTTGTTCTGGTTCAGTTCTGGTTTAGACCTGGTCCAGTCCTGGTGTAGTCTTGGCGTTCAACTCTGCGGTTGCGGCATGTATATATGTATAATCCGCTAATGACACAGCATAGGTTTAGTCCTGGTTTAGTCCTGGACTACTGGGCTGTCGGACTAACGGGCTGACCCTGATATATCACAGGCACAGGCGGGTAACAGGTGGAATGTTAACGGGTCCAGGCCGGTGTGGATTTAACTTTGATATAATCACGGAATAATGGGAGGTGCGTCAGTAGGGAAATGATGAAAACTGAAGTATGGTTGTAAATGTTGATCAGCTGAACATAACGGAACACTACAAAGACATGGAGATGAAGAAAACTGGGACATTTTCTCAGTTTTCCTTGATTTTGTGACTTACTAACAAGACCAGAGCTCGCCGGAAGTTGTAATCGCATGTCTTCCTGGTTTGTGATGTAAGCGTGAATTGAGCCTGTAGTAGCTCGGAGTATGCATTGATCTGCTAAGTGTCCTACTGCCCCCCAGTGGCTATAATCAGAACTACATCTTAAAATCTTCTACAACATGTGCGGCCGTGCATCGCTGTATTTAACCTCTTGATAAATACAAGTAAGTTATGATATAGTTATAAGCGGTGTTGGAGAGTAACAGATTACATGTACTGGAGTTACGTAATCAGAGTACAAATTATGAGTAACTGTATTCAGTTACAGTTACTGTTTAAGTGAGTGGTAATTTTTATTTTTATTTTTGGTAATTCCACTCACTAAACCCTAAACCAGGACACTAAACCAGGTCTAAAAAAACAGGTCCAAACCAGGTATAAACCAGGTCTAAACCCAGGTTCAAACCAGGTCTAAAACAAGGTCTAAACCAGGTCTAAAACCAGGTGTAAAACTAGGTCTAAACCAGGACTAAACCAGGTCTAAAGCCAAATCTAAACAAAGACTAAACCAGGACTAAACCAGGTCTAAACCAGGACTAAAACCAGGACTAAACCAGGTCTAAACCAGGACTAAAACCAGGTCTAAACCAGGTCTAAACTATCTCTCAAACAAGATTTAACAGGACTAAATCATGCTGCATGGACCGTGTCTCCTCTTCTTCTATCAATAATATTTTTAATACGGTTCAGTAAAGTCTGGGCTTTTTATTTTCTTTTAGCAGATAAAACATCTTATGTCAAGATTTCCTTATCTTTGCTATTCTACAGCAAATCAAGTAATCCAAAGTATTTAGATTACGTTACTCACTTTAAGTAATTTAATGGATTATGTTACAAACTACATTTTGGCATATGTAATCTGTAATCTGTAGGGGAACACATTTTAAAAGTCACCTTCCCAACACTGGTTATAAGTGTGGTATTATTTTATGTGTTCAGTTCAAAGTATAAATGTAGTAGTAATAATCATATCAACAGTGTTTAGGTGAGTTTGGTGTTTGCCACTTTGTAACTATTACCACATTTCACAAGTTCGTCTATATACAATACAAATTCTATTGTAATTCTTCTCGATAAAGTGGAGGAATTGCATAAAAAGCGCTTCTCAACTGCAGTGGTTCTCAGACTTCTCACATCAAGTACCGCCAAAGAAAAGATTAGCCTTTCTGAGCACCACCAGATCTAAACCAGGTCTAAAACAGGACTATTCCAAGTCTAAAAGTAGACTACATCATTTCCACTGTACTTCTAAACAAAACATTACCTAAAGGAGGACAAAAAGTGGAAAAAATGAACTCTATAAATTTAGCAAGCTCACAAACTGAAGAGCTCACATACCACAGTTTGAGAAACACTGATTAGCCGTCTTATCCTTTTAATGGAGCTGATGCCAATCCAAGATGAGATACAAGTTTTGTGTTTTATATTTCACTCAAGGCCATCCTACTTTTGATCATGAGCCATATGATAACTTCCTGATAATTTTCTGGCACCAGAAAGTACTACATTTTGGGTCAGGGACAAAAGGAGTGAACCGTAGTTTATAGAATTGATTTGATGAAGTTGTGTGCAAGAGGGATAGATGCAGAATACCGGAGAAGTGGCTTGTGAACAGTTCAGATGATGGCCCACAGGTGGCAGCAGAGTTTCCAAATGTTTTCATCCACAGGCCATACTCTCAAACTGGAGGATTTTATAATACAATGCACATTTTATAACTTTTCATTTATTTAACCTTCATTTAATAAGCCTTTAGTTGCACATCTCGTAGTCTAGTAACATTTATTTTCATGTATTAAAGGTGCATTGTGTAACATTCCAGGCAGAGCAATGACATATCCATAGAAACAATACAGGTACACTCAACAACACCTGCTCGTTTCTATGGAGATGTCATTGCTCTGCCTAGAATGTTCCACAGTATGACATTAAACTGCCCTGACTTAAATTTATTCAATAGCAAGTGGTTTTAAAGCTCAAAAATACCTATAAAAACAGACATTCTGCCTGATCTCCACAGATCTGACCTGTAACTCTGGTTTTGTGGTTTCGGTCTCCGTGAAGATAGAAAGGTTTAATACCATGCTGTGGAACATTTCAGATGAAGCAATAACCTCTCTGTGAAGAAAATTATTTGATGGACTGTCCACCCCCACAATGCGCATTTAAACTGTTTATAATGAGTTACTACAGTAAAAGTAAAATCAGGTACAGAAACTTTAATTAAAGAAAAAAAAAAAAAAGATACAAATGACAAGATGCAATTTAACTGAAAGCGGTACCTTTATTTGGAGAATTCATAAACTCCAAATACTCTTAGAGGTCTTTTGTACATTCTGTTGGACAGATTAACAAACATAACACAGATATGTCGCTTGTTAGGTCAATTCCTTGTACCTAAAGAAAAACACTGTATGCAGGATTTCATAGTCATTGCCCATTTGAGTCCCTAAAGCCTTGCTGAAGATTAAACAGTCAGATCAAGTTAGAGATTTACTCATGACACTTCTGCACGATGCATACAAAAAACATTGGTGCGATGATTACAATGTAGTTTTTGGCTCTGAATAACTTAACATTTGTAGAATCATAATGGGACTGCATGTTCAAGTTCTGTTATCATGTTGTGAATGCAGCCTTGATTGAAAAAAAAAGAAAAAAAAAAAGAAAAAAAGAGAGAGAAGGCATCCTGCATATAAAATTTTAAAAATTTTTAGTTATTCACAGTTTTGTTAACAGCAGAAATTTAAGACTGTAGAAATTAAGATAGATGATACTGAGTGTGGTTGAGACAGGAAGTAAAAAAGGAAGTAAACAGGAAGTAAACTTTCATAGCTCCAAAAGCTTGACCCCATAGAAACACTAATTGAAAGAACAATTTCCCAATGTCGTTATTTTGACACTTAAGCGTGCACTATGTAACTCTTCTGGTGTTGGAAACCACTTGTCTCCATGGAGATGTTTTTTGTTTAAGCCTGGAATGTTCCACAGGATTATATTAAACACTTTTTTTTTTTTTTCAATTAAATGCATCCTTAGTGAGTGGGGTCGCCTCTCCACAGATCTTGTCTCTCTCGCAGCCTGATAGCACCATTTGTTTGGTACCATGCAGATAGTATGTTTAAGACTGTCCATGGGTTTCAGAATGTTGAAAAATTAGTAAGGTTGCCATAGCAATCAACTCATTAAAACTAAATATTACATCTTAGAATGGTGAAAAGTCCTTAAAATGTCACATAACAGAAAGCTGAAGTCCATGAATTTTGCAGAACATTCCAGGCAGAGTCGTAACATCTCCATGGAGACAAGCATGTGGCAAACCCTATACCAGAAAAGTTACATAATGCACCTTTAAGATTAAAGGGCCGATACTGCGCCATTTTCTGATCTGTTTTAATGTAGTTTCCTCGGCACAAACAGACCTGGAGTTGTGTTTTGTTTCATTCACACATTTAACACACAAACCCTGCAGATTTAGGCTGAGTCCTTCTCTTAAACAGAAACACACTGTTCCACCTTGTGATGTCATTCAAGACAGGAAGTACTCCACTGTGTTTTTAAACTCCATACACCTTCATTAGAATCATTTGGATGAGTTCAGCCCTAGAATCTGTTAACTTGAAAATTACCACTATATGACATCACAAGGTGGAACAGAGCATTTTGAGCTCTGGAGATGTAGACAGACTAATAATAAAGCGTTACTCAAATATGTGTGAATTTAATTTTCTATATATAGCACATTGTTGCCATGGTGAAAAGCTTTATTTTTTTGGCTTCACTCCCTTCTCTTTTTCAAACTGCTCGATTTGGCTGAATATGTCCAAAAGGTTTGCAGGGAGATCCTTCTTGGCTTTATCTTGCCTTGTATTGTCCTCCATTTTGATGTTACTACCACTCGCCTTCTCTCCATTCCCTCTTTCATACCTACCACTTTCCAATGAACTCCTCCTTGAAGAATCACTTTTGGTATATTTTGGATACTCGGAGTGAAAACTGGACCTCCGTGAATGCTCAGAATCTACTGAAGAAGTTGAGATTCGACGCCTGTCTTCAAAGCTATCCCTCCTCTTGAAATCGCTGTTCCTTCTGTTGTCATTATCCTTGTAACTAGGACTTCCGCAATCTTGCTTTCGATCCTCATCCGATATTGAAATTCTCCGATCTTGCCCAGACTTGGCTTTCGTAAACACATCCTTAACCCCGAAACCTGGTCCACCTTTTTGGTTAAGAAACGTAGCTGACGTTATCGGTGGAGCAGGGTACCACTCTATTTCCTCCTCCTCTTCTTCTTGTTTGCTCCGTTTTCCTTGATCACTTTTCCGGCTTTCCTTGGAGGATATTCTGCGATGGCGTTTGCTAGATTTGTGTTTTTTCTTTTTTTTCTTTTTTCGGGATTTGCGGCGGGAGCCAGATGATGAGGAGGAAGAGGAGGAGGAGCTACGGGAAGAGGAGGATGTGGAAGATGAAGACGTGGAGCGCTTGCGTTTTTTCTTCATCCTGAAAAGACGGCACACTCACAAGTTACAAAGGGTATAGAAATAGTCCTACAGAGGATTCAAACACTTCGTACTGGTAGTTTTCAGATTCAATAGGTAAATCTGACATATTTACAGATTTCTCTATTGTGTTCACATGCGCATCAGTCTCCTGGTTAATTAGTCTTGTGTAGTGTTTACATGTGCCCAGAGAAACCAGGACACTCATATCTCTGTGTACACGAGGAATCAGAGTATTCTGGATATGTAGACTGGTTGCTATGGTAACTATGGTACAGATATGGCAAGGAGCAAAACATGGAGCAACTTTGCTAACTTGAGGCTTTTTAACAGGTTTCTAACAAAAAAAAAAAAAAAAGACACATTCAAGTAAGAACATGAGACTGTGGAGCTCTGTCACAGCTTCAGTAACAGGCGTTTTTAACAATTACACATTACAACACAGTGTCACAGCGTCAGTTTAGTTCAAAAGCAACACAAACCACCTCCGAGCTGAGCCTGGTGTTAAAATGTGTCTGTAAACGTAAACTGCTTTATTTTATTTTGTTTATAAGTACTTAAAAAGTCTTGGTCGGAGTTTGAGTCGTTTTGGGAAACTAACTGCTCCTACCATTTTTGTTACTTGACTTCACACGTGCTCAGTACAGCATCAGTTTTGAGACATCAGGACACTGCGTCAACAGGCCACAGTATCCTGGATACTCTCAGAAAAACTCTCCTGGTTTCTCATCACCAGGATACTGACATATCCAGGAGACTTAAATCCAGATACTGGGTCTACACGGACACTCACATAACCAGAATACTCAAAAAAAAAATGATCATAACTGGGATACTCAAGCGCATGTGTACACACTCATTGACTACATTGTACTTTGCCACGTGTTTCAAATGACACCACAGTATTCTAAAGGCCAATATTAATTCATACAGATGGGGGCAGCTCAAATTTAAAACTGTTAAAAGGTGCATTGTGTAAGTTTTTCTGGTAGTGGGATCGTCAAATGTTTTTCTCCATGGAGATGTTACTGCTTTGTCTGGAATGTTTCACAGTATGACATTAAACTTTTGTACCATCAGGGAAACCAAACCAGACCAAGTTACAGGTCAGACCTGTGGAGAGGCTCACAGTCAGAATGCCTGTTTTTGAAGGTATTAGCTATATTTGAGCTAGGCATTTTTAAGCTACAAAACCACCTTCAATTTCATAAATGTAAGGCAGAGCTGTGTAACATTGTGGAACATTCCAGACACAGCAATGCTATATCCATAGAAACAAACAGGTGATGGACCCCTTATCAAAAGGTTACACCAGGCATGTCCAAAACATGGCCTGTGTGCCAAATGCAGCCCTCAGACATTTTTTTCTTGGCCCTCAGGCTTCCAGGTGAATTGGCCCAAATTACATCATTGCATCAATTAAAACATAACTTTTTATTGCAAGTTTTTTGAAAATCTATTTTGATAAAGCTAATATTTAATATATAGTGAGTGGTTTTCAGGATCTTAGCATGAATAAAGACTGATGGCTTATTCTAACGTGTTAGACATGCACATAATTCAATTATTCACTGAATTGAGCACCAGCCCCTTGATCAGCCCTCTGCTTCGTCTGTGTTTAGATATGTGGGCCTTGATGAAAATAGTTTGGACACCCCTGGGTTACATAGTGCACCTTTAAAATGCAAAATCATATTGTAGAACGGTGAGTTCTTGGTTAATAATTGAAAATACCAAGTTCAACATTTGTGAATTAACCTTTTGGATATTTGAGAATCAAAACTACCAAGGTAAATTAACAAAAAAGGTAAATTCACAAATGTTGAACCTGATCATTTGTATTACTGACTAGAAAGACATTCATTAATATTGGCCTATAATGCTGTGATGTCATCTCAAACCCAGCTATAGGTTCTTCTGTTATGGTTGATCCTCATTTGAATCACACAATAATACTTCAGTGTTCACTTATTACTTCTACTGATTAAAAAGGCCGGATAGAAGTAAATACAGGTATATATATTTAAGAGACTTTAAAGTGCCTATGACAGGTTGAACTACTCATTTCATTAAAACACACTCAGATCATTACATTTAAAGTTTTACCAAAAAAAAAAAAAAGGTTAGGTTAGGTTGTTAGGTTTAAAATAAAAAATGTAATTCCTAGTTGGAAATCATGACATCACGCTAGGGAATTCTGTAACCTTTACCAAACAACCATGTGGTACACTGGGTCAAAACTCTTGATCTAACCACGAAGCCAGAATCCTACAGTTGAAACAGATTTTTAACTTTAACTTAAAAGTGCACTGTGTAATTTTTTTTTTGGTTGGGGGTCTGTCACCTGCTTGTTTCTACGGATATGTCATTATCCTGCTTGGAATATTCCACAGTATGACATTAAGCAGCTCTACTTTACATTTATTCAATTACAGGTGGTTTTATAGCTAAATAATCCCTACAAAAATATGTATTCTGACCTGGAACTTGGCCTGGTCTCCATGAAGATAGAAAAGTTAATATGACAAAGCAATAACATCTCCATGGACAAAAGCATCTGATGGACCCTCCTCCAGAAAAGATACAAAGCGCACCTTTAAAATCCAATCCAAACTTACCTTTTCTCCTCTTTTAAGATCTTACGTAACTTATCAGCGCTCGTTTGGCTGTTTTTAGTCTGAGCCTGCTCCTTCTCCTTCGCCATCGCTTCTTCTCTCAGACGGATCGATTTCTTTACGGCCACATCACGGGGCCACAAGTTTCGAAATGGCACCCACAAGCCCATTTTAAACAACAAATGCATGCGATATAAACCCAGTTACATGCAGTACGAAGCCCAGCACAATATTCAAGCCATTAAATCAGTCATTTTCACAAAAGTTGAGTCAAAAATAGCAAGGGGATCATGTAAAGACAGAAATAAAAGTTAAATAAATCAAAATACCACAAGATATGAGATCAAATGATGCAATTGCAACAGAAAGTGAGTTGTATCAGATTAAATGAATGCATAATTAGTAGAAAATGTTAGATAGAAGTACCCCATTAGAACGAGATGGTTGCATTGTTACCAGATTATAAGCAGTTTTGGGTCCATGGGGTCCGGTTGAAGTGGTGTATTCATTTTCATTGTCGGCAGTTGCGTTGTTGTTGTTGTGTTTTTTTGTTTGTTTGTTTGTTTACCCCAGATGACGCGCAGAGGACAAGTCCGTGGCAGCCGCAGGGTCAAAGGTCACAGTGCCAGGTTCACAGACACATACACGAAAACACTTCATCAGAATTACAAATTGGAAAACATGAACATTTCACAAAAACCTCAAGATACAAAGGAAGATGAAACATTTGGCTTTTGGTCCGTTTCTTAAAGATGCACTATGTAACTTTATGCCACCTCGTTTCTATGGAGATGAAACTTTGTCTGGAACGTTCAGCAGTCTGGTACTTTTCTATCGTGCATGTATTCAAATAATTGTGTTTTTATTGCTTAAAATAATACCCTGAATTATTACTGTGAGAATCATGGAAACACATAATGCCATACTGTAAAACATAATACCACCTCTTTAATGCTATAGTGTGAAACATTCCAGCCAACATCATAACATCTCCATGGAGACAAGCAGCTTGCAGACAGTAGAAAAGTTACATATTGCACTTTTAAGAGAAGACTTGATCAGTATTAAAACGCAAGATCATATTATTACAGATTCAATAAACACACTATAATGTACTGATTTGTTGATGTTATTAGTGTATTTTTATTTAGATTACATGTAACTCAGATATGGTTATGCCTAAAATGGTCAGAATGTGAAATTTAAAATAAAAATTCATTTGAAAATCATTTCAGTTTGACTAAAGGCAGCTTTTTCAGTGGAGGAACAGGATACTAAACAAAAAAGGTATGATTTCTTAAAGCAAGCTTCAGTGGAAATCCTACAATTCAGCGCCCCCTAGGGTTTGGTTAATCATACTAAAATATGTGCAGTGAGGCGTGTTACATTGTAAGTACAAAACTTAATCTATAAAGCTACAGTATGTAACTTTTTGGGAATGGAAAGTCATCTGATTGATTTCATGGAAATACAAAGTTAAAACCACACTTCAGAACATTCTCCGTAGAGATAGATACATTTAATGCCATAATGTAGATTATAATCAAAGAAACCACATTTCCATGGAGACAAGCAGGTGCAGACCCTCCTCTAGGCCAAATAAGAGTCAGGTTTGTGGAGATTCAAGCCCTCTCAGAGTAAAGATGCAAGCTTTTCAGTGCAATAAACACAACCAAAATGAAAGAACAAAACATGCTTTCATTTTACTCTACTTTTTAGCAAAGAGTTACATACTGTAGCTTTAAATCCTGGGATAGTCGCGCTGCAGTGTGTGGTGTGGCCAGCTCACCTGTATAGTTTCAGTGATTTTGTTGAGAGCGTCTTGGGCCTCGGGGTTCGTCTCGTCTAAAGACAGAGCTCTTCTGTACAGACCCTCTGCTGTGACCAGCTTCTCCTGCTCCTCCAGCCTAAAAGAAAAAGACACACAAGAGGAAGCTCGTCACGATAATTACATTAACTTCAATAAATGATACATGGGGCAATTATTTTTGGGGTGAATATACATTTGTCTTTGGAGGACTTTTTATTATTTTTCCACACTATGATACGATTTGAAAGAATAATAACTTATTTTACTCATTAAACTTCCATTTATTAAATTACACCTCAAGTTCATTAACAATACTGTACATACAGAACAGTTTTGGACCATAATAAGACCCCACTCACAGTCAGAATGTTGTTTTTCAAGGTATTTTTGAGCTATAAAGTCACCTGTAATTTAACAAATGTAAGGTATTATTGATTTTTGTCATACTGTGGAACATTCCAGACAGAGCAATGGCCTCCATAGCAACAAGTCGGTGATGAAATCCCAATTGAAAAGCTAAAGTACACAGTGCACCTTTAATCATATATAGTAATTTTCTTGTTGTGATAATTTCCATGAAACAAAAAGAGCAAGTGTTTTTAGATACTTGTATCTTATTTTGCTACCAAAATGGATTTGTGTGCTACTTTAGGTTTCTGAGTGCAACCCAGTCTTGTATTTGTTATTACACTTATTCTATTTAAACTTGTAAAAGGTCAAATTTGATGAAAAATTTACTTTATTTCTGTTTTTAACCATTTTGTACAAACCTGGCTACAATAATAATAATGCATTTTATTTAAACATACACTATGTAACTTTTTGCTTGTGGGTCCGTCATCTGCTTAATGTTATACATTGGTCATTGCTCTGTCTGGAATGTTCCACAGTGTGACATTAAACAGCTCTATCTTTCATTTATTCTATTACAGGTGGTTTTATAGCTCAAAAATCCCTCGAAAAATAGACATTCTGACTGTGAGCGGGGTCGCCTCTCCACAAATCTGTCCTGTAACTTAGTCTGGTTTAGTCTCCATGAAGATAGAAAGGTTTAATGCCATACTGTGGAACATTCCAGACCAACTAGTAACATCTCCAAGGAGATCCTAAACCAGAAAAGTTGCACAGTGAAGTTAAAGATACCTTTCTAGGGACTCAAAGGCACTGTACAGCAACAAATAATTAACAATTGTCAGATTCATTTAATTTGCATTATATATCTTTTTTTTTTTTTTTTTTTGAACAAACAACACTAAAAATAAATTGTAGCAGTTCCCCAAGTGTTCATCTGTGGTGTCAAATTTGTACGCAATATAATTCAATGTGTTTTAGATAACAAGAATGTCCATTTATTAAGTTACAAAAACTAAATGAACATTCAACATCACTATTGAAACTACAAAAAATAGATATTAACAAAAAGAATGGGCAGTTAAAATCACAATGAAACAATCACAAACAAACAGTAAATCAAAGTTATTGTTTTTATTTTTTGTTAAAAAAGTATGTCTTACTGTCTTCCTCTCTCCACTAGCGTCTGGCTCAGGTACTTCTTGGCGTTTCTGTGTTCAGGGCAGTTCTCCAGGGCCAGCTCAAAATCACTAATCGCCTTCAGAATGCTGCCTTTGTTGCCGTACCTGAAAAAACACAATAAGATGTACTGTAATATATTTCTTTTTCATAACCTGCCTATGATTCATAAAATATAAGGTTGTGACCACTGAAGTACCACCGTGATCAGTTAATGTCAAGGCTTGAAACTGAGACAAAGACTAAAGGGACTTAAAAGGTGCATTGTGTAACTTGTCTGTCTGAGGGACCATCACTTGCTTGGCTCCATGGAGATGTGCCTAGAAACTTCAACAGTATGACCATAAATTTATGAATCACCATGGAGACTTGCAAGTCAAATTACTGGTTAGATTTGTGGAGAGGCGTCCCCACTCACAGTAAGAATTAATGCTTTTAAAAATATTATTAAACAATAATTACCATCTGTAGTTGAATAAGTGCAAGACAGATTAATTTAATGCCATACTGTGGGCAATTTAAAACCAAAGCATGAACATCTCCATGGAGACAAACAAGATGCA